GTGCATCACCCTTCTTATGAATTGGCACCAGAACACTTTTTCTCCACTCATCAGGCATCTTGCCAGTCTCTAAAATTCTGTTAAACAAACCAGTCAGGAAATTTACTGCCACTTCTCCTAAACACTTCCATACTTCCACTGGTATGTCATCAGGACCAACTGACTTTCCACTCTTCATCCTCTTCAGGGCTTTTCTAACTTCATCCTTTCTAACCTGATCTACCTTCTTCCTACTAGTCTCTGGCTCCTCGTTTCTACTTTCCCTTTCATTTTCCTCATTTAACAACTCCTCAAAGTATTCCTTCCATCTTCTCAGCACACTTTCCTCACTTGTGATCACATTCCCCTCTCTGTCCTTAATCAACCTCACCTGCTGCACATCCTTCCCAGCTTGATTTCTCTGTCTTGCCAATCTATACAACTCCTTTTCTCCTTCCTTTGTTTCCAAACTCTTTTACAACTCCTCATATGCCTTTTGTTTGACCTTGGCCACTTCCCTCTTCACCTCCCTTGTCCTCTCTTTGTACTCCAGTCTGTTCTTGTCATGTCTGTCTGTTTCCGTGTTTTCCTGTGTTCTTTGTGGGGTAATCATGGGATCACACTCACCTGTTTGGTAATTAGCTTCACTTGTGTCACCTGGTGTTCCCTGTGTATATATACCCCTCTCCCTCACTCTGTCGGTGTTGGATCATTGTGATTGTGATTGTGACTGTGTTAGATCTTCGTGTTCCTGAGTTTCCTACTCTGTGTTTCCTCGTGTTCCTCGAGAGTTCCATGCCTGTTAGTTCTTCGTGTTTTGTTAATTTGGACTTTGTTAATAAACTTCCTACACCAGAAAGAGTCTCTCCAGTACTGCATTTGGGTCCTGCCAGCTCCCTGCGATGCCCGTACATGACACACACAGACGTGTGTGTGCGCTTATGGGAGAGAGCATACACATACAGTATGTGTATGCTATGTGTGTGCTATCAGCTTTTAGATGAATTGAACATCTGGAATCTGTCATATATGTGTGAACTGTTTGTAACTTTATCCTCTCACTGAGCTAATAATATCACTAAGACAATCATCTTAGTCTTATTTATTTATTACACATCATCAATCTGCAGGTGGTCATGGATAAATACTCAGAATTAGAAAGCAAAAAAAAGTTTTCCATTACTGTTTTAAACATTTGATATGATCTATAATTGCTGTCATTAATTATTATTTTGAGTGCATTTGTAGCAAAGTACCTGGAACTTAGCAAAACACATAGAACATGAATGTTTTAAATACTGAAGTCACTCAGTTCGAATAATTAGAATGTACAGAAAAACAAAAACAAATGAAATAAATGAAAACAATTTTTAAAGTATACTTATAATAATAAAAATAATAATGTATTATTTAAAAAAATCTCACAGTATCCCCATCATTCTGTCGAAAAGTGAACAATGTAAACAAAACTAGAAAAACAATGGCAAAAATTCAACCAAAGACATCGGCAAGAAATAGGCCAAAAAAAACAGGATTTTTTTTCTTTGGTAAAGTAAAAAAAAATTGCTGGTCACAAACAATAGTCCACGTGTCAGGACGGTCCCGGAGCCAGAATTTGGACATGATAAGGAGTGATAAGTTTGGGAAATGTCACCTTTACTTCCTTTGTCCATTGATTGCTTGCCTTCTTTTTCCTTCAGTCTGACCTGAATCTAAATAGTTGATTTTTTTCAGGGGCCAGTTCAGTTTTAAAAAATTAACGTAAAGTTTTTGCTCTGTTTTCTTGTAAATCCCAGGTATCCTGAAAATCACCTCAGTGGACGTGGGAGTTGTGGCCATCAAAGGTCTGACGAGCAACTACTATCTGGCTATAAGCAGGAAGGGGGAGCTGTATGGAGTGGTCAGTATCAGGGTCAAAGTTCAATCTGAATGCTGGAGAGAAATAGTGTTAGATATTTGTGTCAAATGAGATCTTATCTTTACGTCTGTAGCTGCTGAGCCTCTGCCAGGCTGGTGAAGGCACGAGAACCTCCAGAACTCTTAAACTGGGTTCCACTGATGAACTTTTTATGTAGTTTACAGAGGAGTAAATAAACATGCTGCCATGTGCAACTGCATTAGCTCTGCAGAGGAAGAAAATGAAGTGTGGTTTGACTGCTGTTGGGAAGACCGACTCTTTTTACTGATTCGAATCTTGAACGAATCATTTCATTCATTTTAACAGCAGACAAATTAAACGAATCGGCGAGAACGAATCTGTAAATTAATCTGAGAATGTATCTGCGAGAACTAATCTTTGAATGAATCTGCGAGAACGAATCTTTGAACGAATCTGTGAGAACGAATCTAGGAACGAATCTTGGAACGAATCTTTGAACGAATCTGTGAGAACGAATCTTTGAACGAATCTACGAGAATACATCTTTGAACGGATCTGTGAGAACGATTCTGTGAACAAATCTGAGAAAATGAATCTGTGCAGCACGAGCTGCCTATCACAAATGAACAATCCTGGTAGAGGACATGTGAATGTAAAACTCATTTTGACAATTAGTGAGACAACACTGCACACATCTAAGGGACGCAAATAACGTTAAGTCAGAATAAAGTTAAATAAACCAAACGAGCAACAACAATATTGCAAAATTAAAAGTAACAAATATATTTTATATGACTCACGGGAGTCACAAGTGAGTGATTTATTCACGAGTGAGTGATTTATTCGCAGTGAGTGATTCATTTGCAGAGAGTAATTCATTCACAGAGAGTGATTCTTGAGTGATTCATTCAATATAAACTAATCTTTCATATGACTCGGGATTCCCTTTGTCATATAAAAGATTCATTCATATTGAACGAATCACTCACAAACGGCACGTCACTATTGACCGCACCTCACACGTCTGGGCGGTGACATTAACGCTGAAATGTGATTCCTAGCGCGAAAAGTTGATTCCTTCTGTGTTTCCAGAAGAAGTTTGGCATCGACTGCACCCTGAAGGAGCGGATCGAGGAGAACGGCTACAACACCTATGCGTCGGCCGAGTGGAGGAACAAAAAGAGGCAAATGTTTGTGGGCCTGAATGTCCACGGGAGGCCGCTCAAGGCCAAGAAAACCCACAGGAAGAACACGGCTACCCACTTCCTTCCAATTATGGTATGAGCTGGAGGACGGAACACTGGATGGAGGGTTTTTTTTTTCGATGTGGAAAACTGAAAAAGGAAAAAACTTCCAATGGAAAAATCTCTCATTTGGAACTGAGGCACTAACACTGTTAGGAGAATGGTCTCTGCAAATGACTGAGGGAGGTTGGGAACTAGTGTTGGTGAGAGATGAAGATGGAATCTGTGTTTTCTGTGGCACAGGATGCAACATTTATTTTATTTTTTCTGTGCCAAACAGTTTGTACCTGGACTGTGTGTGTAATACCGACAACACAGAAGACGCCGTCCCCAGGAGTGGGCAGTCCGTTAGATGCAGAAAGTGATTTATAGTCCGGTCTCCCCCATGAGACACAGAGGAGGCCAGATTAAAAGTTACAGCTAAAAAGACAAGAGTGATTGTCATTTTATGAGCGGCATCATGAAATCATTGAGGATACCAGGCATTTAAAGCAAATGTTTAATAATTAACCACTGTGTTCTGGCTGTATTGTTATGATTTATTTATTTGTGAAATATATAAACTGGAGGGAAACACTTACGAGCAAGCATTCCTTTCCATGCTTTACTTTTTATAGAAATTCTATCATGTGAAAATAAAACTACCATTTTCCTCTCTGCAGCCACGTTTGTTTGTGAGCAGTGCAGAGAACTCTCGCTTAATTGTTGAGGTCACGGTTGATGTGTGTGAAGGTAGAAATAGAAGGAGTGATGATAAATGTTGTTAGTGGTTATGCCCCACAGGTGGGCTGTGAGTTGGAAGAAAAGGAGGAGTTCTGGAAGGAGCTGGATTGGATGGTAGAGAGTATCCCCAGGGGAGAGAGAGTGGTGATTTGAGCAGACCTAAATGGTCATGTAGGGGAAGGGAACAGAGGAGATGAGGAAGTGATAGGTAGGTTTGGTGTTAGGGAGAGAAACTTAGAAGGACAGGCAGTGGTAGATTTTGCAAAGAGAATGGAAACGGCTGTGGTAAACACCTATTTCCAAAAGAAAGAGGAACACAGGGTGACTTACAAGAGTGGAGGCAGGTCCACACAGATACACTATATTCTATGTAGAAGATGCAATCTGAGGGAGATTATAGACTGTAAGGTGGTGGCAGGTGAAAGTGTAGCCAAACAACATCGGATGGTAGTGTGCAAAATGACGATGGAGGTGACAAAAAGGAAGAGAGTGAAGACAGAGCAGAAGATCAAGTGGTGGAAACTAAGGAAAGAGACATGTTGTGAAGACTTCAGGAAGGAAGTAAGGGCAGTTCTGGGTAGTGTTGAGATATTCCCAGATGATTGGGAGACTACAGCTGCAGTGATGAGGGAGACAGGTAGGAAGGTGCTAGGTATGTCCTCTGGGCAGAGAAAGGAGGACAAAGAGACCTGGTGGTGGAATGAGGAGATCCAGGAGAGTGTGCAGAGAAAGAGATTAGCGAAGAAGAGATGGGACAGTGACAGAACAGAAGAGAACAGACTGGAGTACAAAGAGAGGACAAGGGAGGTGAAGAGGGAAGTGGCCAAGGCCAAACAAAAGGCATATGAGGAGTTGTATGAGAGTTTGGAAACAAAGGAAGGAGAAAAGGAGTTGTATAGATTGGCGAGACAGAGAAATCAAGCTGGGAAGGATGTGCAGCAGGTGAGGTTGATTAAGGACAGAGAGGGGAATGTGATCACAAGTGAGGAAAGTGTGCTGAGAAGATGGAAGGAATACTTTGAGGAGTTGTTAAATGAGGAAAATGAAAGGGAAAGTAGAAACGAGGAGCCAGAGACTAGTAGGAAGAAGGTAGATCAGGTTAGAAAGGATGAAGTTAGAAAAGCCCTGAAGAGGATGAAGAGTGGAAAGTCAGTTGGTCCTGATGACATACCAGTGGAAGTATGGAAGTGTTTAGGAGAAGTGGCAGTAAATTTCCTGACTGGTTTGTTTAACAGAATTTTAGAGACTGGCAAGATGCCTGATGAGTGGAGAAAAAGTGTTCTGGTGCCAATTCATAAGAAGGGTGATGCACAGAGTTGTAACAACTACAGAGGGATAAAGTTGATGAGCCATACAATGAAGATTTGGGAACGAGTAGTTGAAGCTAGGTTGAGGCAGGAAGTGGAGATTTGTGAACAACAGTATGGTTTCATGCCTAGGAAGAGTACCACAGATGCAATATTTGCCTTGAGGATGTTGATGGAGAAGTACAGGGAAGGTCAGAAGGAGCTGCATTGTGTATTTGTAGATCTAGAAAAGGCATATGACAAAGTGCCAAGGGAGGAATTGTGGTTTTGTATGAGGAAGTCAGGAGTGGCAGAGAAGTATGTTAGTTTGGTGCAGGACATGTATGAGAATAGTACAACAGTAGTGAGGTGCGCTGTTGGGAGGACAGAAGACTTCAAAGTGGAGGTGGGACTACATCAAGGATCGGCCCTGAGCCCCTTCTTGTTTGCTGTGGTGATGGACAGATTGACAGATGAGGTCAGACAGGAGTCCCCATGGACTATGATGTTTGCAGATGACATTGTGATCTGTAGTGAGAGTAGGCAGCAGCTAGAAGAGAACCTAGAGAGGTGGAGGTTTGCACTAGAAAGAAGAGGAATGAAGGTCAGTCGCAGCAAGACAGAGTACATGTGTGTAAACGAAAGGCAGAACAGTGAAATAGTGAGGCTACAAGGAGCAGAGGTGGTGAAGGTGCAGGAGTTTAGGTACTTAGGATCAACTGTTCAGAGCAGCGGAGACTGTGGAAGAGAGGTGAAGAATAGAGTACAGGCAGGATGGAACAGCTGGAGAAAAGTGTCAGGAGTGATCGGTGGCAGAAGAGTGTCAGCTAAGGTGAAGGGAAAGGTTTACAGGACAGTGGTGAGACCAGCCATGATGTATGGTTTAGAGACAGTAGCAATAGGCAGAAGACAGGAGGAGGAGCTGGAGGTGGCAGAGTTAAAGATGCTAAGATTCTCTTTAGGAGTGACAAGAATGGACAGGGTCAGGAATGAGGTCATTAGAGGGACAACACAGACAGGAAGGTTTGGAGAAAAAGCTAGAGAAGCCAGATTGAGATGGTTTGGACATGTGCAGAGGAGGGACAGTGGATACATTGGTAGAAGAATGTTAGAGATGGAGCTACCAGGTAGGAGAAAGAGAGGAAGGCCAAAGAGGAGATATATGGATGCAGTGAGGGAGGACATGCAGGTAGTTGGAGTCAGAGTAGAAGATACAGAGAACAGGGAGAGATGGAAATCAATGATTTGCTGTGGCAACCCCTGAAAAAGGGACAAAGAAAAATAATAATGCATTCTGAAACAAAACAACAAAAACAAGAAACAGAATAAATGAAGTCATGAATTCTGATATTTTGTTGGGTACTGATCTACATCAATCCTATCTGAGCTCTACATGAGCCATGTGGAGCACATTGGCAAAAGTATAGCACACATACTGTATGTTGATGGCACAGTGTTGTCAAAATAATTAAGGGTCTTCGGAATTTACCTCTGTTCTCACGTGGTGAAAGATAAATGCTTATAAATCCTTATAAATCCAAAACAAAAGGGCTGGAACAGAGAAAATAAACAACATAACTAGAAAAAGAAAAAGCAAATGGCTCTTTTTTTCCCTCTCCCATGTCTTCACTGCCGTTATTATGTCAAAAAAAAAAAAAAACATTGGAGAAAATCTCTTTGGTCAGTTATTATGAGTTGTAAACAAACTAGAAACAATTTATTTACATAAAATGATCGACATATTCCCAATAAATAAACACACAGCCTAAACATGCATTTACGTATGTCTGACATAAACATCTGTGATAGAGATCTGACAGAAACAAGCAGATTCTTTTTACAGCTCAGTGAAATGCAATTTACAGCCTGCAGAGGACTCATGCTTACACGGTAACATGACAAATAAATAACACTGCTTTTCTTTGGACAAATATATTTCTTCATGATAAGAAACACAGGGAGAACAACAAAAACAAAAATGGGAAGAAGAGTGGTAACACAATAATATCATAGTAGATAGTAAGCCTGACATTTTAAATGTATAAATTATTATACATACATAAACATACAGTTGCATAAGTTAGATTTTTTTTGCTCCATATTTTTGGAGTGATATTGTACATAATCTGTGATTTTGTTCTGAAGTAGAATTGATTGAAAAAAAAGTAAAAAAAAAACAAACAAAAAAAACAACACAAGAACAGAAGCCAGCAACAAATACAACACAACGCAAGTCCATCCATGCCCAAGTCCTTTCTGCTTGCTCAAGCTGTACTCGGTGGTGTAGCTGTCGTAGGATTTCGGGGCAGGTAGGGGGTGGTTAGATTGACATTTTTCATACTTTTCGCGCCTTTCTTTGATTTTATTTACAGTTACAAGAACCGGCGTGCTTCACCTCCAGCAGCACGCCCATCGAGCAGGCGGCCTGCTTCATGGCACATTCACTTGGGTACGTGGTGTTG